AAAATGTCGAATAAACGGGTCGAGACGATAAAAAAAGGGTTTACGCGATTAAACCGAAAATCGCCGAATTAATATAAATTACAATTCAAATGAATCCTAATAACTCTAATACATATAAACGATAAATAAACACATATATTCATATAGATGATGTCACATAACATTTAAATAAATAAGCAAATAAACGAGACGAGCAGTTAATATAATAATCGGCAAACAAATAACACAAATGCAAATAATCATTAATAAGTAAATAAGTAATAATACAATATTCAGAAAATTTTAATAAACGAACAGGGCGCTACAATCTATCCACCTTAAAAAGGAATTCCGACCTTGGAATTCGAAGACAAAAGAAACTATAAAATTAAAAGAATGCGCAGACCTCCAAAATGAGATGTTAGGGAATCTCCCCCTAATCTCGGCCTCCTTCCTTCAAGCCGTCTCGAACTCGTCATGTCAGCTTAATAGAACCTTCCCAAAACTCAGCGCCCGGTCCCTCAGCCGATGGACACCCTGATCCAAAATGGCTACCGGTACCTCGTCATAGGTAAGGTCTCGCTCGACCCGCATTTCGTCGAAGTCCACCACGTGGTCCGGGTCATGCACATCTCTCCGCAACATCGAGACATGAAACACAACATGCACCCCTGACACAACCGGTGGTAAAGCTAGCCGATAATCCAAGTCCCTGACTCGAGCAAGGATCTCAAAGGACTAACCGCACACGACTGCGGATTCTCATTTACCCCAAACTAAGTTATACCACACCTCTAGTCAACAAAAGGGGAAAGCTCGAATGGTATCATCCAGACACCCGTTTGATACACAAAACACAAAGCGGCTCACTCAAGGTGAGAAATCGCAAAAACGCATCACACAACATGCACACACGACCTCAACATGTCTCATACTGCCTCGACCGTGATATCATCGGTCAAACAATCGTGGTTGATACGTGGAGTTGAGTTTTAGCATGGTGCCCGAGTCACGCCAAAAACTTACCCAGAATCTCGACACACTCGTGACTTCTTGTCGAAGCAATTGTCACGGTAAATGTGCAACCATGCACACAATATAGCCTCGCTATACTTATATTCACAACACACGATTCTACGATACAAACGTAGCCCCTCATGGCTCCGTTTGCTGACAACACAAGTCCCCTATCTCGCCATCTCGAGGAATCCTTGCATAGGCATAAGAAAACTATTGGTCACGCTTCCTTATCAACACTATCGATCAAGGATGCAAACGCGGTACGGTGGAACTTGGAACTCTCATTGGTCACACCGTCCCAAAGAAAAATAAATTGGACGTTTGAGTTGTTAATGCACTGTCCTCCGAAAGGCAACACGCTCGCAGGCACTGCATATGCGGGGTGCCAGGACGCTCACGTGTACCTATTCAGAAACCAGCCGCAAGGTCAAGGTTTGGCCGATCACGCTGGCCTGGGAGTTACGTGTGTCTGGTGATGGCAGCTGCAGCTTGCGTGTGAGTCAACGATCGACCGTGCACAAGCCTCTCGTGTATCAACACGGGCATACACGCTTGACCATCACTTCGTGGCTACACCCAGTCAGGGTCGGTTTTCAGTTCAAAGTTTCAATAAGAAAATTTAATTCATGGTTTCTCTCAACATGAAAATTTTTCTGAATTTGGGATTTCACATAGGCTAAAGCAATAGCAAGGGAAGAATTTACCACCAAGATGTCTACAAATGGGGTTTATTCCAAACAAATATTTTGGTCTCACACGAATTCAAAAGTTTCAAGGTCTCAAAAATAGCAAGGTATAAAACCGAGTACCAAGTCCACTTCATTTTTACAACAACACACACTAACGCGCAAAAAACCCAATGCTGAAGACATGCAAAAAAAATTCTCAAAGGGAAATGAATGCGGCTCTCCAGTCAAGAATGGTACTAGGCCAGCGGTTCCTTCGAGACACCAACTAGCTAGCTCACTTCGGCTCTTCCGACTAACAACATCGGCCGTCACATCAGCTCTTTCTCCGGTAGCTAATCGTGCCAGCAGTCCTGAACGAGCTCTACTCATCTGCACTGCCCAGCATTTACATCTCAAGGTCCAAGCGAAAGGCATTCTTTCATCGAAATGACCTCGATCACATCTTCGGTTATTTCCGCTACATCTCGGAGTTCTTAGATTATATCGTTGCTGCAGAATTACCACTAGATATTCTGTCACAATCACCATTGCGTTGCGTAACACAGAAAGAATCACTATTTGATTGCAGATATTCTCATCTGTTTCCAGAGTCCGTTTTGATACGTCAATTTCTCAATTTTCTGTTAATGATACATCGGGTCTCAGATGGGTCTTCAGAGATTTTGCAGTTGTCTTCAGATGATTGGACAAGTCTTCACCCAGTGATAGTAGTTGATCCTCCTTCCTCGTCCATCGGTTAGGTCTATGTTTGTCGATGCGCAACATCTATGTCGTGAAACAGATAGACTCATCCTAGGTACATCCAGATGATTGGTGCGCCTCGAAAGTGGTCCAAATTGTCCTCGACAACGATAAAGATAATATGGTTTGGATGAAGGGAATATCCAAACACAACTGAAAAGACGATATAAGACAAGCAGAAAGCCAAAATCACTTGTCTTAATTGATACATCAAGTCTTAAACTTGATCTCGAAACTCAAGCGAACAAGAAACAAAGACACGGGTTTCCAAATGTGTTACAAAAGTACATGAAAGGGAAAGGTTTTTTTTTTTTCAGAAAACCCAACGAAACAAAAGAACGGAAGATTATCAAAGATTACCATGAAACGAATAATCCAAAGATTAGGGCAGCTTCAATGTTCTTACTCCAGGCTCCACTACCCTCCTTAAAAGATCCTTAATAATATTTTAAGGAGTACACCTTCCTTGCAACCGTCAACAGCTGAAGTTCAGGAAACAACTTCCGATGTAGCGTTGAAGTCTATATCAACAAAATAGATGACCATCATTGGTCTTCAGGTTAAAATACTACAGTGAATTACGACGACATCCGTAACTTCGAGTACACGGTCTCGAAGTCACCGCAAACAAAATCATAAACTTTGCAACAAAGAAGGCCTATCAAGGGCCGAGAGCTTATCCTTATTTGTACACAAAGTCTCTAAGAAAGTTAGCTCCAAACACGAAAATTTGCATAACTAGTTAAAAGATAAAATACGGAAACAGAAAAAAATAACTGACATCACACGATTCGACTTCTCGATCAGTTGTCCACTCCTTGCTCAGTTCATCTTCGTCCTAGGTCAGAGCATAATCACGGGATTCTCCCTCATTCACAACTGAAATGAAATGGCACAATCCTCTGCTGGCCTCTATTCCTAGTAGTCGGTTTAGCGAGCGATAACAGAATGGTCAAGTTAGGACTCGGTGAAAACAGTACACTAGATCCACTTGAGTTTACGAGGTCATTCCATCAACTGTCAGCCTTCGCGGTCAACGTTCGTAACCCACGCAGTAACAGTAGCCATTGCTTTCCTCGAGGTCTTACCATCCTCGAGAGTCGCGTTAGAAACAATCCATCAATCAACAGAGCTCTTCGGCATCGGTTGACAACTTGTTCAAAGCTTTAAATCACAATCATCGCACTCTAAGAATTGGATTCCACCACTGCCCTAAGAATTGGATTCCACCACTGCCCTAAGAATTGGATTCCACCACTGCTCTTCCGGAACATCTCGGATGTATAATCTCAATAAGGCATCCTGACGTTGGTCACCAGAAAAGCTATGGTGCATATACGCAAATCTCAACTATTAACGAGATAGCTCGCGCAAAGTGCTAACTCAAAACTTAGAGAGAAATTTTCTAGAGTTCACCACTAAACAGTAGAATTCGAAATATAACAAAGGTGGATAGTCCTAAGCCCCATATATGAAAGACAAAACAACAAAACTCATACCTCGAGCTGGCACGGCAAGACGAAAGCGAGTGGTCAATGGTCATTATACACTAACACAAGTGATAGTCTACAGAAACGTAGATTAGCTCTGATACCATACTGTAACGCCCCGTTATTTTAATAGAAAAATACCGAATTTATTTTTCCAAAATCAGAGTTAAATTTTCAAAAATCAATTCAAAGGTTTATTTAACGGGCGCTACTCAACAAATTCACATATCAACAATTAAGTCCAAACTTAACCCATCGGGGAATAAACCATCCCGAACAGTTCATCTCATGACAACATTCAACAAATACTCATTTATAAGAAATAAACAAGTTATAATTAAATTCCAAAATCATAATTCAAGTTCAAATCCCCGAACATGCATAATAATTCTCAAAACCCATCATGGTTCAATCTCCTAAAGAACAATATTAATCATGTTGACAAGAAATAGATACTAAATAGAAGCGGAAGCAGGTAAAACAGTTCAATAGCACATAATGACCCTGCCTCGTTCGTCTTATTGCCACGACCACCAGCTCAACCTGAAAAGAGAGATAATAGTGGGGGTGAGCGAACACTTGCTCACCGTGGGAATACCATGCAGTATAATCAATATAAAGACTTAAAATCATAATCGCAGCATGAACAAAAATTGACTAGTCTACCCTCCCTAAACACAACCATGCTCATGTGATCACACCTAACCTATCAATCTCAAAAAAAGATAGGAAACAAGCCATCCCACTAGTAGAAAAAACACTTTTCACATCAGCTGTTTACATCGGTTTTGTCAAAACCGATGTAAAAAATACTTTTCACATCAGATGTTGACATCGGTTTTGTCGGAACCGATGTAAACAATAAAGATTGTGACATTCTTGTAATGAAAATATCACTTGGGACATCGGTTATTACACAACCGATGTGAACGATGACACTTATTATATCAGTTCCACAATAACCGATGTCAAAAACTTTAAACAAATGATGTATTTAGAATGCATCGGTTCAAATAAACCGATTTGAATGTGGCCCAAAAAAATGGCGATCTAAATTAATGTGCATCAGTTTAATAAAACGATGTTGGGAAGCCAAAATTTGATGTGCCCGCCAAACTTCCAAACATAATTCTTAAACCCAAATCGCTAAGTATTGAAAAAAAAAATCGCTAAGTCTTTCTGAAAATCGATTGCACTCAAAACCCTCTAGTACCGGTTTCGCCTTCACAGTGTTGCTCTCAAAACTCTCCACCGTCGCGCCTTCACAGTTCATCGCACCTTCACAGTTCACCGCCGCACTTGCACAGTACATTCACTATTCTCTTCTCTGGACCATCCACAGTTCGTGTACCGCAAGTACAACTCGACCTCCTTCAAGCGACAATCGTCCGTCGGCTAGCGCGTATTGCACATTGTCCGTCGATCGCCGCCCATTGTCCATCAACAGCCGTTTGACGTTCTTTGGTAAGTCGTTCTTCACAAATTATCTCAACTGAAATTGTCCTCAGCACTCACAAACTTTGATATGGGTCTTGTGAAATTGAGAATTTTTCTGTGAAATTTACTCCCGCTCTTGGCCCTAGATGTATATATAATTGTCTATATATGTGGATCTGTGTGTACACTCGTGTTTATGTATATGCTTGTGTGTATTTATGAAGATCTAAAGAAAATTTTTCTTAATGTGCAAATTTATATAGGCTTCTTTTCTTTTGGAAGAATATTTTGAAAAAAAAAAATTATTACCTGGAATGTAGAAGGGGTTCTGAAAATATCATTACCTTGGGTCGCAATATCACTATGCTCCATTTTTCTTGGTGGTATGGTTGTAGCTTTTGTTATCTTCATTCTGTTGATGTATCTTGAACATAGGGGTTCTTCAGATGAATATACTACTATGTTTTAGTGATTCAAGTTCATTTCTGTGAAATGTAATTAAGATTGAGTCTGGAGGAGTAATTTAAGATTTAGGAGAAAAAACAGAAGTTTCTTATCAGTTTAGGAGGACTTTATATAATCAGACAACAAATAAGTTAGAAATAGTCTCTTTAATAGTCTAATCTAGATTGTTTAATTCCCTAGATATCTTTGAATGAGTTACAAAAAATGTAAGCTCATTAAGTTAGAATAGTAAATTTCAAGATCTTGGGTAAGATGAAAAGTATTTTTTCCTATATGAATTTCTATTCTGTGCTTTGAAGCTGTACAAAAGTAGTTGAGTGAGTTATAAGTCATACCTCTTGCTCTTAGTCACAGGTAGATGAAACCCATTCATAATTCCAAAATCAGCTTTAAATCCTTCAGAATCTAGTTGGATTTGTACAGAATGCATTAAAAATACATTATACATAAATTATACATAAAAGAGTAATAGACAATAAAATAATGTAATTTAGGATCTCAAATACAAAGATAAATTCCAAGTCAACCATTCCTAAATAGAAAAAAGTTTGTAATTTGTAATTATAAGAAAGACTTTTGTATATGTGAATATGAAAATAGTTTTATAAATAAATGGTGACCTACTTGTAGTGCACAATAGGATGAAAAAAGCAATCAATGTTTGTTTATTTCCTCATTTAGTGGATAATAGAGAATTTCCATTAACCATTTCTTTATCATTCAAATATAATATTTTATTGACCAAAACACTTTGGGTTTAAAATTCCATTGCTAAGATTTCTGCTAAGATTTCTAAGTGTTTAAACTTTAATGAAGAAAGTACCATCTCAGACTTTACACTTTGGGATAGAAAGCACCATCTCAAACTTGACATAATTTGCCTGGTTGCACCACTTTTGATGAAGTAGGTGAATAGTTTGTCATTTATTAAATAAGTACTTTTTGATAGCATAATTAATTTAGTTCGATTGATAGTTACGTCTTATTTGAGATATCATAGATGTTGGATTGCACATTTTTTTTTTTGGGTATTCAAAAATCAAAATGTGGCTTGTAATTGTTAAATTATAGTAGTCTTGATATAAATAGATTTTTATTTATTTATTTATTTATTTATTTATCTAAATGATATTTTTTGTGTAAAATTTGTTTTGTTATGTAGTTACGGATCGTAAATGGGTTTATGCTCCCCGGACAAGTTTAGAATATGAAAATGGAGTAAATGAGTTCTTAGAGTTTGCTAGCAAGCATGATCCTGACAGTAACGGGAAGTTCTTATGTCCGTGCGTGAATTGTCTGAATGAGAGGAGATTAAGTGCTGATCAAATTCGAGAGCATGTGGTTTGCGATGGTTTCAATAAGGGTTACACCGAATGGATATGGCATGGTGAATTTGAAATGCCGAGTAGGCCAAAAAATGAAGAAGTTGATGAAGATATGTATGATCGAGTGGAAGAGATGATTAATGATATTGTAGCTGAAGCCTTTGAGCAAGTATACACAAGCGGAGTGTGTGAGACCTTGTCGACGAATGCAGAAAAGCCTTTGTACAAAGACTGTGAGAACTTTTCACGTTTGTCTGCTGTGTTAAAACTAATCACATTGAAGGCTGCAAATGGGTGGAGCGATAAGAGTTTTACGGAATTGCTTGGCTTGTTAAAAAGTATGCTTCCTGAAGACAATGAATTGCCAAACTCTAATTATGAGGCAAAGAAAATTTTGTGCCCGTTGGGTTTGGGGTATAAGAAAATTCATGCATTCCCTAATGACTGTATTTTGTACAGAAATGAGTACAAAAGTCTTCATGAGTGTCCGATGTGCGGGGTTTCGCGGTACAGAAAGGAAGTTCACACAAAGTCCAATGCTCTTAAGATTACAAACAGACCACCAGCAAAAGTGTTGTGGTATCTTCCGATAATTCCACGATTCAAACGTCTTTTTGCTAGTGCAAAGGAGGCAAAGAATTTGAGACGGCATGCTGATGAGAGGATAGACGATGGTATGCTCCGACATCCCGGTGATTCCCCTCAATGGAAGAAAATAGACCACTTGTTTCCTTCCTTTGGAAATGATCCAAGAAACATTAGGCTCGGTCTTTGTACGGACGGGATGAATCCATATGGTAGCCTAAGCAGCAAGCATAGTGCATGGCCAGTTTTATTGGTTGTTTATAATCTTTCTCCCTTATTGTGTATGAAGCGGAAGTATATCATGTTGTCTATGATAATCTCGGGGCCAAAACAACCGGGAAATGACATAGACGTCTATCTGCAACCATTGATTGAAGATTTGAAGATGTTATGGGAGGAAGGCGTTGATGTATTTGATGCATACAAACAAGAATCATTTAAGATGCGTGCTATGATTTTTTGCACGATAAATGATTTTCTTGCTTATGGAAATTTGTCCGGTTATAGTGTTAAAGGGCATAAAGCATGCCCAATATGTGAAGAAGGCACTTGCTTCCATCAGCTCGAACATGGGAGAAAGACGGTGTACCTTGGTAGTCGAAAGTTTTTGAAGCCGGCCCACCCATACCGTCGATTGAGAAAAGCATTTAATGGTCATACCGAGTTTGAAAGTGCTCCGGATGCGTTAAATGGCGAACAAGTCCTTAATAGAGTTAAAAACCTCAATTTGAGGTACGGTAAAACACAAAAGCCAGCCGAGAGAAGCTTATGGAAAAAGAGATCTATCTTTTTTGATCTTCCTTATTGGGACAAGCTTGACGTACGTCATTGTATCGATGTGATGCATGTGGAAAAGAATGTGAGCGATAGTCTTATAAGCACACTTCTTAATATACAAGGCAAGACAAAAGATACAGTGAATGCTCGAAAAGATATGATCGCTATGGGAATACGAGGGGAGTTGGCTCCGGTGCCTCAAGGTAGGAGAACTTATCTACCTCCAGCATGTCACACACTATCAAAGAAAGAGAAACAAAGTTTTTGTGAGTGCTTACGCGGAGTGAAGGTTCCCCAAGGATATTCCTCCAATGTAAAGTGGTTGGTGTCGATGAAAGAATTCAAGCTGCTTGGGTTGAAGTCTCACGACCATCACATACTAGTCCAACAACTACTTCCAGTGGCTATTAGAGGCATATTGCCAAAAAAAGTAAGATGCATTATAATTAGATTGTGTTTCTTCTTCACATCTATTTGTAGCAAGGTCATTGACCCTCGTGTGCTGGATGATTTGGAGAATGATGCTGCAATTATCTTGTCTCAACTCGAGATGTACTTTCCCCCTGCTTTTTTTTGATATTATGGTACATCTAATCGTTCATCTAGTGCGAGAGATACGGTTATGCGGCCCTGTGCATTTGCGATGGATGTATCCATTTGAACGATACATGAAAATTTTGAAGGCTTATGTGAAGAACCCGCGCCGACCTGAGGCATCCATTGTTGAAAGATATGTTGCAGAAGAGGCTGTAGAATTTTGCAATGAATATTTATCACAGTCAAAATCTGTTGGCATCCCTAGTGCTCGCCACAAAGGAAAGGGGTCCGGTAAAGGGACTGTCGGGGGACAACTTAAGAGTGTTGATCGTGAAGAAATGATACAGGCACATACATATGTTCTCAATAATACTCCTTAAGTGCATCCTTACATAGTTGCACATAAGGCACTAGTAAAGCGACAAAATCCTCGAAAACCTGAAAGGTGGTTGGTGCAAGAGCATAACAAGACATTCTTAACGTGGTTTAAGAATCAGGTTTTAAAGGATGATACTGCTTCGGAAACAATGACGTGGTTAGCTGGTGGTCCGAATTTCGATGTTAGATGTTGGCGTGGATATGACATCAATGGGTGCTCTTTCTGCACGAAAGAAAGAGATGATAAGAGTACTACGCAAAATAGTGGTGTATCTGTTGTGGCCGAGTCAATGCATTTCTCTAGTACAAAAGACAAAAATCCACTGTTAGCTGCTAGTTCTTATTATGGTGTTATTGATGAGATATGGGAAATTAGTTACATTAAGTTTACCGTGCCTGTTTTTAAATGTAAATGGGTTGATGGTAATAATGGCGTGAGGGTAGACGAGTTGGGAGTCGTATTGGTTGATTTCAGAAGAGAGGGTTATAAAAATGAACCATTTGTCATGGCATGCCAAGCATAACAAGTCTTTTATGTTTCTGATCCGAGTGACCAACATTGGTCGGTGGTACTCCAGGGTAAACGACAACTTGTTGATGATACTGATGAGCCAAGTCTTGATATGTATGAATTTCCTTCATTATCACCAAGGTTGTCTATAATAAATGAAGAAGAAGAAGTGGACGATGTCCATGCCATACGAGACGATCATCATGAAGGAATTTGGGAGAACACACCCATGCATGCATAGTATATTACGTAAGTATATATATATATATATATATATATATATTTTCATCTTTCAAAACCTCTAGACTTGTTTTAGTTCCCTCTTTTTGTTGTTTTTTTTCTCTTTGTAATTGAAAACTTGATTCATTTATTAAAACACTTGTGTGCTCTAATAAAATTATAAATTCATATTAAGTCCGTTCTAACTTATTTAAACTATTGTCTCATAGTATTAACTTTTACCCACTTTCGATTCTCATTTTTATGCTTACATTGCAGATCATTGTTTGGCTTAGCAACAGATCACGCGTATGCTGATATTTCATTTGAGAGCACATCATTTGTAAGTTCTCATCTGCTACTGACTAACTTCATAATTTAACAGATTCTTTACATGATTTAATTGTGGAAGTAAATAATTGTTGTCCTTTTTTCTTGTTTTGTGTTTGGTCTTATGTTTTATTCTTGTGACAGTAAGTTATGCCTTGGTGATTTTTGGTGCAGACTTATTAAGTAAAGAAGCTCTTAATCATACAGTGGAACTCCTTTTGCCATCTTAAAGAAGACACCAGAAACATCAAGGTAATTTAATTACTTTTTACTCATTGCTTTTAGATACAATTTCATATGTTCAAAAACTAATAATAATAACAAATAAATAAATCAGAGTCCATTATATAGTTTTTATCTAACTTGTGATTTTAAAAATAATATGTACACACTCATAACTTATAACAAAATAAGTTATGAGTGTGCACATATTAATTATCTTCACCTAATATTAATGATAATATTAATTATTGAAAGAATAAAAAGTAAAAGGCATGTTCCATTGGAAGAAAGTTTTTGAGCTTATGATAGAGAGAATATGTGACCAAATATTCACAAAAAAACTGGTTGTGTAGTTATAAAGAAGTGGGCATGCATGCATAAAATGGCGAAAAATAGCATATGTTGACTTTTTTATGAAATTTGATGGAAACCTAATGTTACATGGAAAATCTAAGCAGAATATTTGGAAAAACAAAATTTAATAAATCATATAAATTTCCAGAAGAAAATATGCAGAAATAGAAAAAAAAAATGATAAAAAAAGAGAAAAAAAATTGTTTAGTTAATTGGGTTACATGAATATATTATATTATTATATATGCAATACCTGCTTCCAATGGTTGCATAGAGTGTGCAGGAATGGATGATCTTTCTGAAAATAGTAGTCAAGATGGCTCAGACAAGGAAACTCACGTCAAAAAAGGTCGCAAAGCAACACGGATGAAAGACATACAAACGTCAGATGGAGAAAAGAAACCTGTTACATTCAATCGTTATTTTGAGGCAAACGGGCCAAATCCAGAAACTAAGAGCACGTTTAATTGCTACATCGTCGTTCTAGGACGTAGCAAAGTCAGTATCTTGATACCGGACTGGAGAAAAGTGACTGATAGGAATAAATAGCAAATTTGGCAAGCTTTATCGGTATGATTTATCAATTTTATAAAAACACAATAGTTGGTAAATGAATGTTTCAATGATTTAGTGGGTTGTACCTGTTATGTTTTTAAAAATTTAATGATTAAATGTTAATTATTTTTTTATGAATCTTTATATTTTTTAGGAGCAGTACGATGTACCAGATAAAAAGAAATTTGAGAACGAGAGTGTTTTCACGTGCTGGGGATGCTTGGAGGGCTTTCAAAACTAAGCTCACTAGAGAATACATATTTGGAGAAAAGATTGGTGTGCTCCCATATGACGATATTTACCCTTTTCTGGATGCAGACACTTGGAAGGCTTTTGTTGCGTCCCGTCAAACTCCTGAATTCTTGGTAAGTTAATTATTATCATGAACATAAATAATTTTGAGTCTCGTACATTTGGCCATACATTTAAAGTTCAATTGTTTGGGGACATTTATATTCAAAAGTGCGTGAAACTATTGTTTCTGTTAAATTGTTTGATCTTTATGTAAGGATTGAGAGAAAATAAATGATAAGTGGTTATTTGGGATGTTGAGTTGTTCTTCTTGATTGTGTTTTTTAATCTATATGTATGTAGGAAATCAGAAAAAAGGCTCAGGAGTCGCAATCATATAATCTAAGTCCGCACATATTATCTCGTGGAGGCTACGATCTTTTGATGCAAAAGATTATGGACGAGAAATACAGGGCAAGAAAAGAGGCCTCCACTAATCTATCGGAATTTATTCCACCCCCATCTCCTCCTTCTCGTCATGAATTATGGAAAAGAGCTCGTATAACAAAGAAAGGAGATTATGTCTCAAAGGAAGCCAAAATTGTTGCTGACAAAATTGTAAGTGACGTGTTTTTATATTTTACGTTCCTCGTACATTCATGAATGGATAAATACTCTATAAATTCTTCAAACATTTCATGCAAGATTCTTTAGAAGAACAATGCACTCAGGGCAGTTTCAAACATGTTGGGAGAAACGATATACTCGCAACAGCGTTAGGAAAGCCTGAGCATCCCGGGCGTGTGAGGGGAGTGGGTAAAGGTGTTGGGATCAAGGACTTCTTTGGGCCGTTGAGCTGTTCAAGTGTAGGGAAAGATATGGTCTCGCGAGATGAGATGGAAACTATCATCAGTCGTAGGATTGACGAAGTGAAAGACGAATTAAAAAAAGAAATAATGATGATGAATGGCAAAGGCTCTTCGATTGACCATAGTCCTGATTCTCCGAGGATCCAAAGCACTACAGAGAGTTGTGCTCCAAATGTGTTATCATTGGATGAACTTAGCGAGGATAAAGAATGCGAGTTGTATGTGGAGAACCCACAAAGAATTTTGGTTGCATACGGACGTATCCATAACCTTGGGCCAACCATTCACCACAAGAAGATGAATAAGGATGAAGTGAGGGTTGTCGTATTACGTGTAATCGTTGGAGATGCGCTCGTGCCATGCCCGACAGAGGAGGTCACAACCGTAGAAGAAGCGTTAAATAACTTCATTACTTGGCCTCGTAGGTTGGTTAAAGGTGCAAATGCTAAGGTAATTCTGACCTAGTCTTGAGTGTT